TCAGCCTCCCCTTCCGCTGCCCGCGATGCGGCGACCACACCAGGTTCCGGAGCCTCTCCTCTCTGCGGGTGCACCTGGAGTACAGCCACAGCTACGAGGAGAGGAGCCTCCTGACCAAGAGCAGCCTGTTCTCACCCCTGAAAGACGCGGAGCTGCTCTCCCCGCCGGAGCCTGCGACCCAGGGCAGCCTGGGGAGCCCCGGCGCCGCCGTACAGGAAAAGGGGTCCTACCTGAATTTTTGCGATGCGTCCTGCGAGAGCGCGAAGCGCGGGCAGCCTCTGGAGGTGGAAGCGGAACGGCCCGTCTCCTTCGTCGCAAACTATGTGCCGGCTGACTCGCCCAGCGAGCAGATCGTTAAACCCGGCCTCCCGGCCGCTGACTCCAAGGCCTCCTTCGAGGCACACGTCAGAGAAAAGTTTAACAGGATGGTAGAGGCCGTGGACAAAACGATTGAGAAGCGAATCGACAAGCTTACCAGAGAGCTGTCCCAGAAGACGGCGGAGCTGCTGGAGGTGCGGGCAGCTTTTGTGCAGCTGTCCCAGAAGAAGCAGGAGGTGCAGCGACGGGAGCGGGCCCTGAGCAGGCAGGTAGACGTGGCAGTGGAGATGATCGCAACCTTGAAGCAGCGGCTCACCGAGTCCGAGGAGGAGCTTCACCGGAAAGAGGAGTAAGTGGGGAGGCGAGAGCTGGTGGCTTTGCGCGGGCTGGCCAGCGCCTGTGCGAGGGAAAGCTTTTAGGGGAGAAGGGAGCGGATGGTTTGGTTGTTTGCTGATTAAGAAGGGGCCTGGTGCTTGCCAGCTTCTCATCACTGTATTTCTAGAGTTGTAGTCCATGTGACTACGTCCCCTGCAAGGCAGGGGACAGCTCCCCGAGCAGGTGGCTTTTATGCTTCACTCCCCAGTGACTAACTTTTGCATCTTCTAATGCCTTTGTTGTGTCCCTGGTTTCATGGGGGTAGGGACAAGTAGAAGCTATCATCAGCATGTAATCTGATTTACACTGACACCTCTAATCTGTCATCTTTTTAAGAAGAGATGGGCGGATAAGTGCTGGAGGAAGTATGTAGGAATATCGAATAGCACCTTTTCCCTGAAGTTGTCCTGCCATGGTCAGCAGGCAGCATGTGAAGTGGGATGGTCTCCCGTGCAGCAGCAGAGCTGTACTGGAGACAGTGCTGAAAAGGCCACGTCTAAGTAGGTGTTTTAGACGGACACAGAAATGTGAAACTGGAGTTGTATATATGGAAATGGGAAGCAGATGCCAGAGCCTTTCTGACTAACCTAGGCCATCTAAAAATATGTTTGTGATGCAGCCGCTAAAAATGTAGTGATAGCTGATACATTATTTATACATGAACTACTTAGTTTATTCAGCACTTGCTGAAACCTTTCAGGCTTTTCGGAGCAACACAACTTATTTTAGAGGAATGCAAATAAAAAGCCTTGGTAATGGAGTGCCTCTAAACCAATTCATCAGCTTACAAAGGGAAGATGAGAAGTGCTAGTTGCCATGACGCTGATCTGACAAGAAATAAGGAAGGTGGTGTAGGAGTTCAGTGTAGGAAGTTTGGAGGGCTTTCATCATTCCTTCCTGTAGTCTAAGGACTAGGAAAAGGAGATGATGATGGCTCCTGTATCAGCAGGAGTCATCTATCTTGAGGCAGTGCTGTAGATTGCCCAGAAGAGGGGACAGCAAAGGTGGTGGGATTTGAGCCTCTGGGGTGTGCATCTTCCTCGAAGGGATATTCAACAGAACCTCTGATTTTTGAAATAGGTGTTCCTCAGGTGATCCTCATGGAAGAGAAGACTGAAGGATTCAAGATGAAGCTAAAGATAATAGCGGAACTGAGACATATATGAAAGTATGCTGAAAGGAGGCCATAAAGATAACTTACACTTTGAAGCAGTTTTGGTATTCGCATCTAGTCAAGCTCCCCTTATGGGCTCTTTCACAGTGTGATTTGTCCTGCTTGTTCTAGAAGAGTATCTTAGAGGGGGAGGGATTGCTCTGTGGAGGTCCTTCCTCCCTCTGCAGACTAGAGGGAGACCTCAGGTAAGCAGCTGTCTTAGGCTAGATGCTGAACTTCAGATACCTGATGTTAAGTGCTGTGAATCTTACCCCGACTAAACACAGGATGTGTTTTTCAGAATTCGAGGCTTGAGAGCCACAGGAAAAACATGACTGTCAGGAGAAAGCGGAAACCATTCAGTGGAGCAAAACCAGAGTTCTGCAGTGCTGCAGAAGAAAAGAGCTCATGGAAGAAGAGGAAGCGGGGAATAGAGTTATCTGGGTAGAAAGAATGGGCATGAAATGGGGAGGACAGCAGATGACACTGATCTGTGAAAAAAGCAAGGCAGCAGAAGTTGCAATTTTTAACTATGTTAGGAAAAGGAACGAGGAAGAGGCGGCTTGCCCCCGTGGCAGGCTGCTTACTAGCAGCAGCGGCATGCTGTGGTTCTGAGGCCAGAAAAGACTGAACACAGAATGAGAGAAGTGAAGAAATGCTGTCCTTCACACTAGGACATTGCCAGGCTCAGGAAAGGGGCAGGAACTCAGATGATTGCTGTTGTAATTCTAGCCATCTCTAAAGGAGGAGGATGAATGTATAAGCAGATGAGGAGGTAGGTCCTAACTTGGTGTTACAGGGAAGACTGAAGGTTGTTTGACTAGTAGGAAACACTAACCAAAAGAGGCAGCTGCACAAGAGACTTCACCTGAGTACCCAGGATATTGTTCTAGGATTACCGCTAGCTTGCTTCAGCTTTCAATAACGAAGATAAAAAATCTTGGAAGTAAAAGCAGCAATAGGAATGAATGAATAATTGTTACACAGTGGTGTGCTAATTTCTAAAGATAAATGGACCTAATGCATGGTAGTGAACAGGATGAAAGAATATCAGCCCAGAGTACTGAGGGGTGGGGAGAGGGGAGTCATAGTATGTTCTTGCATGTGCCCGTGCCTAGCCCCATGGCATTGCCTTTTACAAGTCACTGTTAGGCACTCTGAGGAGACTGGAAGGGTAGGCAGGGTGTAAGAATAGGTAGAGTTCACCTAGAAAGAACTGAAAATACGTTATTTTTTTCTTGTTCAGATGGTTCCTGCATTTCCCGTCTTGGGGGATAATAAGAAAAATTCACTGTATGGCTCTCCAATTAAAAAGTCATTGTATAATTAGCAAATTGAGAAGGAAGGTAGGTATAAACAATGCTTTGTAAAAGCAGGACTAGTACTTCTAAGGGCAGATTTTTTGGATTTGAACCTCTAACAATGCCTGGGACACTTAGCTTTGCGCCAGCAGCAGGGAGACACTGGATGCTATGCTCTAATAGAGGGGAGAAGAAAGGATGTTCATTGATGACCTTGCTAACAACACTTGTCTGGTTTTCTCATGGACCATTGGTAAATTCTGAGACCTGTCTACATATTCAGTCCTTTGTGTGTTCAAAAACTTACTTGGTGTGCTGAAAAGACTTTCTCCTTCAAAAAAGGAGGATCTTAACTTTGGCTTTGATTTCTGGACAAAGTCCAGATGATTAGAAAGCCAAACAAGACTCCTTAATGGATACTGCAGAAGCAGGAGTTCTCACTGCAGATTGTGGAAAGTCAAAGGCAACCCTTAGGGACTGCTTTGATACTTGCTGACCTTCAGAAAGAAATGCTTTCATCATTTTCTTTGGATTTTTTTTTTCATAAGCAATATTGTGAATATGGATAACTTTTCCCAAAACTAGCGTTGATATTGAGCCACTGTAGCTGCAAATTTGTTCCTCTTTGTAGGAGGAAAAAGAAAACACTTTCTTCCCTGAAACACCTCCTTATCCTATTTCTAAGGAAGTAAAGGAAAACAGTCTTCCATTGGTCTCTGAATGGTTGTCCCTACTACCAGAGATTATGGAATATGGTGCATGTGAAGGCAAGAAAGTGTTTGTAATCAATATGCACTTCTAGATCTCAGAGACTGAGGTATGGCTACTCTAGATGAATCTGAGGGTTAAAAAAAAACACAACCCCAAACCAAATAAGCAACAAAAAAACCCCAACAAACAAAAAAGCCAACCCCACAAACTATCCAAAAGACAAAAAAAAAATAATCCTTGTCCAAATCTTAGATAAAGTCACAAAAAAAAACCTTTGGTTTTTTTTTTTTTTTTGCAGGCTCTTCTAGTAACTCTTGAAAAATAGCAATATTCTGATAAAGAAGTTACAGAAGTTTATACTGGGCCTGTATATGAGTATCCTCCATGTCCACCTACTTTGTCAGTATCTTACATGAATGGGCAATCACTATCAGTGATCAGATTACCCTATAATACTGAATTTAACAGCTTTATAATTTGTGTCCAGGACTTATCTGGGCTGTTAGACTAGACCTTCTTCTTATCCATGTAAGAATGGATATAGACAGTAGAAGAGGATGCATTTGTGGGTTTAACCATCACTCCTTACCTATAAATTGGCTATTAAAAAAAAAAAAAAAAAGGTTGGTATTTAAGAAACTTTCCCTTTAGAAGGGTATACTCTACAAGAAGAGGACAGGAGATAACAGTACAATTGCACTTTAGGTAATGGCTCTGGTTTTGGATCTGATTATGAAGTCAAATAGGAAAGCTAAGGGAAAGAAAAATGTGCTTTAGCAAGAATAATTTGGTTGGGAAGCCCCAGGAGGGCTTGGAGGTGGAAATTCTCTGTTTAAACATCTCCATCTCCTTATTCAGGAAATCCAGCTCTTCTAGGCCTCACAACTTTCCTTTGTGCCCAGCCTAGCAAAGGGAGACATTGCGCTGCAGTGACTCTGGCAGTCTTTAGCTGAGGCAGTAGACCTGAGGTCACTTTGACTTGATGGAATTTCATTTCTACCACTCTGTTCTACCTATAAAAGCCTGTATGTCCTGAGCCTTTGCCTGGACCAAGTACATGAGATAGATACATAAAAATTGTGATGGACCAAGTTGCTGCATTGTCAGAAGCTGATTTCTCTGATGTGTTCTCCAAACCAAGCAGCAAGTGTGTAAACTTCATGACTCTATAAGGAGTAAATTCTTCTCAGAATTACATTGTTGTTGCTAATCAAAGCACTAATTTGACATGACAGCACTATGAGGTTTTACTGTTGACCTCTCACTCCAATGAGAGGGAGGAGTGTTGGTTTAGGCCACCAGCAGGCACAGGGCTGCCCATTTGAAGAGTTCATAGGGTGAGTAAGGTTATTTCTTTAGACTTGTGTGTTGATTATTTTTTGTTTGTTTTAAATAAAGCCTATAGCAGTCCAACAAAGGCAATGATAAAGTGAAGATATCTTTTTAGTTAAATTTTTACTTTTGTTCCCTCACAAAAATGGCTGTGCTAATATGCACACAGGTGCATGCTGTTCTATTAGTGTGATGCCCCTGTGGAGATGAACTGTGTGCAGGGGTAGGACAGGTGGAGGTACCATGCTAACTCTACTAATGCATAGTTGAAGTAGTATTGCTCTAAGCACAGAAAAGTCTTACAGCAGTCAGAGTTGTGTCATTTATTCTCATATTTAGAAAGTACAAAGGCCAAAGCTTTTTTTTTTTTTTTTTTTTTTTTTCTCTATGGAGGGGACGTGGGGGGGGGAGGAGCTCAATGTTCTAGAGAAGCAGGCACAGCTACCAAAGACAGGTCGCAGTCCACCAACCTGCTTC